ATTTGAAACTTTACAATAATATATAATAATAGCTTACACATCAGAATAACACTTAAGCTATAATTTATAAACATATAGTGTGAATTAACCAAAATATAACGATAACTGTCAAATAAGTATGAAAAAATCTGCGATCTACGAGCCGTTCTGTATAGGGTCGCTCGTCCAGACGGCTGGCTGATCCTTCGGCTGGTCGTAGGACCGTCGCGGCGATTCGCCCGGTCCTTGTGGATTGGGTGAATCGTGACAGAGGACGCCTCACTTTCCGGCTCACGCAGGTGCTCACTGGGCATGGTTGTTTCGGTGAGTTCCTGCACCGGATCACAGCCGAGCCGACGGCAGAGTGCCACCATTGTGGTTGCGACTTGGACACGGCAGAGCACACGCTCGTCGCCTGCCCCGCATGGGAGGGCTGGCGCCGTGGCCTAGTCGCAAAAATCGGAAACGACTTGACGTTGCCGAGTATTGTGGCATCGATGCTCGGCGACGACGAGTCGTGGAAGGTGATGCTCGACTTCTGCGAGTGCACCATCTCGCAAAAAGAAGCGGCGGGGCGCGTAAGAGACGCACAATCCCGCCGCCGTCGAGCGGGGGCCAGGGAGGCGGATCTCGCCCAAGCCCTGGCCCTCTAAGTGTTTCAGATCCCCCTCACATGTCGGTCTGGGGACTGACGAGGGGGGCCTAAGAAGACGATGTGCAAGCTGCTCTGCACGCGTTTTACGCAAGAGCATCCGGGTGATGGAAGGCCGGCTATCCTCGACCCATGCTGGTTCTGGTCCAGCGGGGTATTCCGTAGGATAGCTCACTCTAACCGGCGCCATCTAGGCGGGCTTCGGATAGCCTGCCGACTGAGAGGGCTGGTGGTCGTGGCGCCGACGACCGCCGGTCTGGCGTCCCGAGGGGGAGGGTGATGGGAGAGATGTGCTCCGCACTAAACGCTTCACTTTCTCCCCTTTGCCATTTCATGAGTTCTGTCTCATGCGAGGTTTGGACGTTGGTTGTTGGGCGACAGGAGGTGTTAGTCAGTTCGACTCTGACATACCCCGCCCTCCGTCCCCAGTGGAGGGCAGAAGTCCGGCGATATCCTCCTGACCAAAAAAAAAGGGTGGCTAGTGATTTATACATCTACAAAAATAAATATATATTTTGTTGCTTATGAGGTCGCGAAATTAATTTGCATAATTACTTATGTTATGACTTATTTTAAGTTCGTAGAGCCGTACGTATTAGTTACTTAGGTTATTTTATGCTAAAAACCTAATGAACATAGTTTTGGAGTAACGTTATAACAAAATTACTGGTGGTAGGACCTCTTGTGAGTCCGCGCGGGTAGGTACCACCACCCTGCCTATTTCTGCCGTGAAGCAGTAATGCGTTTCGGTTTGAAGGGTGGGGCAGCCGTTGTAACTATACTGAGATCTTAGAACTTATATCTCAAGATGGGTGGCGCATTTACGTTGTAGATGTCTATGGGCTCCAGTAACCACTTAACACCAGGTGGGCAGTGAGCTCGTCCACCCATCGAAGCAAAAAAAATAAAAAATGTTTGGACATAGTGTTTTACATATTCACAGATCCATTGGATGGAATTGAGCAAGAGAGATGGCAATAGAGTTCTTGCGTTATTAAAAGAATACTCCGTAAGTACTTTTTGGAAACTTTTGGAATTTAATTTGGAAACTTTTGTCACAAAAAAGTTTATTTTTCCAGCCATAATTTACTATTAATTACGTACAAATAAATAACCTATAAAATTACGTACTTGTCTCCAAAGATATATCCGTTTCGTTTCAACGCTGTTCAATTCGGTTTCCTCTGTTTCATTAACCGCATTGCTTACCACGTCGTAAACACAAGAATCCATCATAGATCGAATGCTTAGCTATAGGATAAAATGTAGGATAATTTTCTTGTTTAAATTTGTGAATTAAGACACGGCTTACTTTGTTTTGGTACGAAATCCATAGACATCACCACAAATGCCACCATCCATCCACCTTGAGATAAGAGGTTCAAGTCTAACTGCAGTTCCACTCTTTGAATCGACATCTCGGGAAACATTAGTAGGAACATATTAGTACGACCTACCGTGCAAATTGCGCAAATGTATGTGAGGTTTATTTTTTAACACGGTATTATTCCTTCATAGTGTTATTAGTTTTATTAAAACCTTTTTGGTACACATATCCATAGAATTTTTTTAATTTTTTATTTATTGCTTAGAAGGATGGAGGAGCTCATAGCCCACCTGGTGTTAAGTGGTTACTGGAGCCCATAGACATCTACAACGTAAATGCGCCACCCGCCTCGAAATAATTAATATATATATAATAAAATTAATATATAATAAAATAATTAAAAATAATCAATCATAATCACATCGCTTTATACGGGTACACCGGGCGTCTTCTCATTTAGGTCATGACAGATTCTTATTACTTAGTACAATTATGTTGCCACTAGAGGAAAACGGGCTTGCAGCCCACATCATAGCTACTACAATTCAAATCCTACTTCTCCCTGAAGTTATTAGAGATAGACGTTGTTCTGGTGACAAATAGTGCAATAGTAAAAAGCAGATTAGAACCATACCTTAGCGTACCTTAAAACACACTGTGTAAAACACAGAACGAACCGAAGCTCCAGAGGTTCCAAACGATTTAAATAACGATTTATAATAGAAAAACTTTTATGGACCAAAATTAAAACGAATACTATGCTGTAATGCAATGTTTTCAAGAGATTCGGTTTAAGCCGGTCAAAACTTCTGAAATAAAAAACAATTAATATTCGAACGAACGAAATTGATTTGTTTGATAATCCCCTAGTATTTACGAGTATTACGTCTACAACCTTGACAATTACGAAATAAATAGCACTATCACGCACAAATTTATCATCCTAAGTTTTTGAACTGCTTCTCTTCAACTTATTTTCATTACTTATAGCTTTTTACAATTCCAATACAACCAACCACATCAACAAGATTAACTCATATTATCGTTTTGCGTCATTTTATCTAGACGTATAATTTTATACTAGTTTAGTGGTGTAATATTTTAATCATGTTTTGTTCATGTCTCAGTTTATGTATGTAAATAAATTAGAGCGCTCATATCGTATACTTTACATGTCTTCTACGAAATGTGGAAAGTTTCAGAACATCTGGTATCTTTTTGATTAGAATAATAGGCTTTATGGTTGGTTGGTATGGGATCTAGTAAATCCGGACCTATTTTTGCACGAGTTTGCTTCCTTGGACCTCGCAACTCATCAGTATGTCAGCGGCTATTTCTTCACCAACACAACACTAATTAATTACACTTAACTTGTATATTAGAAGGACGCTCCAGATTACGAGATTGAATTTACTTGTAGTCTAAATACAAAAAATTATAATAAACTAATAGAAATAAAAAATTTTAACCATTAACCGGGATTGAATCGAAGGATATCAGCCTCTTGAAGACATAGACAGCTCAATGCGTCTTCCAGATTTGACACAATTATACACCGGTCAATGAAGTCAGCGTTACTGTCTCCGCACAGTAAACGTTGAGAGACAATAGGCAGTAAAGTGCATTTGAAGGTCACACAAGACATATGGCCCTAGTTTGTACATATGTGTACCTAATCTGTTAAACCTTCTTACAAGACAAGTAGCATGCCATTTAAAAATGAATTTCATTGGGTTAAGATACTATAACTTTGAAACCATGTTCAAGGTCACTTATCCCAGCCTACATTGCCAAAGAATTTTAAATTGGATAGGATAAATATACACTGTTGAATCCCGTTACTAGCCAAGATTGTTCGCCGTAGTGAAAGAGGCAGTCATTTGACTAGCACTGGAATTTAGAGTCCAGTCTGGTGTCTTTCGCAGATCGCAAATTCGTCGTTGAAAATTTCCTCTATTTATTCCTCTAATTCGCGAAATTTGATCTACTATTGATTTCGTAAAGTTTACAACCAAATACTTTATTTCTATCTAATGTAGCTAAAACAGCCTATCAGCTATATAAAGAGCTATCATAGCCCCATTCAGCCTCTTTAAGTTCCTATTAATGACATTTTCCTTTATAAATGCTGCTCAACGATTTCAATGCTTTTGTAATAGAAGTATTAAGGAACTTGAGTTAATGCCCTAGATATATCGACGATGTACTGGTTCTCTCCACAGATTTAAAAATAAAAGCATCTGCCTCAATAATATATTCACCAGGAAGAGTACGAGTATGATGATTAATACGTCGTGGTATGTATTAGTGTAATCTGGTGTATCTTATCTAAGAAACTGTGTATTAGCAAAAGAAACAAGACTGTTAAAGACACTATTTCTTTCTTTCTTTCTTTGTCCTATCACTCGTGTCATCGCGGTCGTGGTCGTCATTCAGTATTATTGCTGTGGGTAGATTTTATATACCTCACGAGCAATCGCCACTTCTGCGGTATGTGGTGAGCCAATCACTCTGCCTATTTCTACCGCATATTATCTAATTTAGAGACTGGACAACGATTATACATATAACTTGACATTTTGATATAATGTTCCAAGATTGATGGCGATTTTCACAGTGTGATATCGGAGGGCTCTGGTGTCCATTTAAGGCCAGATCCGTTTAAAATCTCTTTCTCCCATCTGAGCAATAAAAATACAATGCAAAGGCGGTGGTCAAAAAATAACTCAAATAAGTGGAGGCAAGAGTATTGTATCAATAAATCAACATAAGCAATCTGATTTATCTCCAACTTTTCACAGAAGATTTGTACAGAATTAATGATGAAGGCTTTTCGTACGGAAAATTGCTAGTTATTTCTCCTTGTAAAAATACTAAATACTGAAGAAATTTCGTCTTACGTTTACATGTATAAATTTAAACCGCGTCAATTTGCATGGAAACGGTCTCTAAAATAATATTAATGCAAAAAAATATCATTTAAGTATCTACATTATAGGGATTCTACAAAAAAAAGAGTAAAATAAAGAAAATACTTTAAAACATAAATAAATTTATTTACAAATAACTAACAAACTTTACATAACGAGTTAATTTTAGTGAGTTAAATTTTATCTATGAATATTTAAAAGAATTTACATTTAAAACTCGATTTACAACCAATAAATATGTGACATTTATTTTTCTTCAACTTTTTCTAACACTATTTTGTAAATTATACCGTACGTACCGTGCCGCTCTTCTTATCATAGAATTCAATAAATAGAGAATTAGCAGAAATTTCCGCAGGATCGTCTAAGGACCCGCATAGACAGGTTTTGTGTTTTGTTATAATTTTGTTATAATTATAATATTATATTTTGTAACTTATTATGTGTGGTCTAGAATAGCTCTATCCGTTTTCTTTTGTTTTTTCTTTTCGTTCTTTCGTCAAAGAGGACTTAATAATTGAAGAACGGCAGCAGCGTTCCCAGAGTATTCTACTTGTATTCTACGGTCGCTTATCGGGGTTGAACACTAGTAAAGAGTATTCTTGGCTCTCACAAATTTTAACCACTATTCTCTTTATGTCACCGAGAAGCAGTCATGCGTATCGGTTCAAGTCAATGTAGAGTTCGAACTTAGGTCTGAAGATGGGTGGCGGCATTCATGACATTCACGCGAGTCTAACCCCTTTACACTAGGACTAGGTGAACGGAGAGCTCTTTAACACTTCTATACAATAATAAATAATATTAATTTAAGAAACATATTATTTCGCGTTTTGATTGATATGAAAATAATTTCAATATAAAAAATAAATAGTCCAATAAAACGACTCAACAAATATATATTTTTTTTTATTCATTATATTTCAAGTCAGTCTCGGTGTCGCCGGATGTCACTGGTTTTTAAAAAAACTGATAAATTATAAAATAATAAATTTAGGATGAGAATAAACTGTTGAGAACTAAAGATCAATTATCTATTTGATATTATGGTCGACATAATTTATAGTACAAGTTCTTAAATTTCACAAAACCGATTCAATTAAAATACATAGGTATTAAACCTTTATTAATGAAGACATTTTATAAACATAGGCAAGAAATATCGCGAATATTGGTTACATTGTGGAAAAGGACAGCTCTTATTTTTCATAATAGCCAAGCAAAGCTTACAAAATCGATTAAGCGAAAATTCATTACATAACATACGCAAAATAAAAGACGAGCTAACCATACGCCATAAACTAATATTAGGTCCTTACATATGAAATAGGCATTTTGTCGTACTGACCACTTTGATTTGAAATATCTCCTCTTTGGTTAAGAATTCCAAATTCAAATGCATAATTTCATTTAGCTGGTACATTTGAGTTTCAAAAACAGTCATTTATTTGTTTTTTCCTAATTTTTTTTTTTTTTGGCGCCACTTATTTCCGCACAATGGAAAACATGAAATATTGGTATATTTACGAGCACGAGTTCTACCGTGGCAGCAGTGCTGCAGAAACATCTCGAAGGATTAATTATGTGTACGGCGCTGGTGTCGCAAAAGAAAGCACGATACGTTTTTGATTTCAACGTTTTCGTTCTTGAAATGTCGACCTTCAGAACCAACCCCGTGGACGGCCGGACACCAAAGTGGAAAATGAAGAATTACAGGCTATTGTGGAAGCGGATCCATTACAAAGCACTTCAGAGATAGCTGCAGGCTTCGGGTAAGTGATAAAACTGTATTAATCCACTTGAAGCAAATCTGGAAAGGAAAAATCCAAAAGGCAATCCAAACCGCCTTCAAAGAGTTTATTGGTTTTTTTAGTAAAGAGATCAATGAACTACCTATGAGATGGCAAAAGTGCATAGATAACAACGGAGCATACTTTGCCTAGTCTATACTATTATAATATTATAAAGGTGAAGAGTTTGTTTGTTTGAACGCGCTAATCTCAAAAACTACTGGTCCAATTTGAAAAACTCTTTCAGTGTTAGATAGTCCATTTATTGAGGAAGGTTATAAGTTATCATCACGCTAAGACCAATACAATCGGAACACCAATAAAGAATGTTTAAAAATCGGGTTTTTTTTCTCTTTTGAGAGCTTCCGCTGCGTGTGCTGCAGAAACGGTTAAAGTTTCGCTATAATAATGTATGACAGAATTGTTCCACTTTAAGAGATCTACAAAAGTCCGCGACAGCATATGTCTATATGTTAAGGTTGGCTTACTGTAACGTTTTTTATGCTAACCAAATTTGTTCTAAAATAAAGCATTATTTGTGAAGGTATATTTATAAAGATGATATGAATCCTTATCCAAATAAATATGTTATTCATTACAACACTAAAACACCCAAATCACTTCAAGATAGGCTTTGACAATTATAGATTTTTCTGAATTTCTCCAGGATCCCATCATCAGATCTTAATTATTACAGGACCATTCGGAAAGTCTACCCTTTCAAACAAAAAAAAGAAAAAAGAATTATCAGAATCGGTTCAAGCATTTTCGAGAAATCGGTGAACATACAATAATACATAAAAAAAAAGGTTGCGTGTACTTATGTACGCGCGTAAGAAGTTATACTTTATTTTTATTAAATTTAATTCTTTTTTTTATTATATTTTAATCAATTTGAAAAAAAATCGATTAAACAACATCCTCAAACACGCATATTGGACATCCCTTTCTTGACATCGTATAAATTTGGTAATTCTCGGAATTGATAACTTCCTCTTTTGAAGTCGATTAAAAAGCGCGATTTTGATAAAATAGCTCCTTAATATTCTATTATTCAAAAATATTTTCAATCTCTACGTAAATTAAGAGGCGGGTAAAATTTAGCGTTATGCCAAACTAACTATTCCACGCGGACGAAGTCACAAGCAAAAACTAGTTAAATATATTTTACAAAAAAAAAATTGACTTTATATTCCTCCCGTACAAAACGCCAATTTCATATGTAAGGACCTAATTACACAACGATTAGCTAAAAATAACGTTAAACTAAATAAAGTTAAACTATAAATCGTCAATATTACACAAAAATTATTGAATAAATGTTTTTTTTTATATCATTATGATTCATTATAATAACTATATTTTTGTATTACTAGTGTTTAACCCTTTATTATTTTTATTTACAATTACACTCATAATTTTACCTTAGATAATTTTAACTTAGCTTTTAAGCTTTTAACTTTACATAATTTTAACTTAGAGCTGTTGTTTACCTTTGGCACGAAGCTATAACCGATTTCAGTTTGAGCGATAGCACAGCGCTTATTTCAACGCAATAGACTTTGAACTAGTGTCTCCCGATGAAAGAGAATTCATTCACCACTTGAAGATATTTTACATTTAAAACACATATTACACACGAAAATTAGATAAAAATGACCTTGAATTATTGTCATGTATTTATTATTTATAAGCGAAATGTTTACGTTGTTTGGTTTAAAAGCTAAAAAATTAACCTGATTTAAAAAACATTACCTATGCTTTATCAAAACCCTTTCAACATCATTTTGTCTCTGATTGGGATCTTTGAAATAATTCTCAATCTCAAATAACGTCTTATCTTTAGTTTCCGGTAAATATTTGTAAACAAGTAATGCGAAAAAAGATGCTGATAGCCCGTAAAACAGAAAAGCACCGGGTAAAGTTAGGGTACGAAATATATACGGAGATATTTTCAAAATAGTTGCCATTAAAAACTCAGAAAACAATGTCAATAAAAGTAAACAAGGCGTTTGGTACCTTAAACATATTAACTCTCCAAATATAGTGGACGGCATTATCATGGGACCGAGACTTATTGACACAGAAAACAATGTCAGAAACAATATTGACAAATATCTATTCTCGGCAATAACCGAATACTTAATTAGATACAAATATACAGATATGACATAGAGAAAGAAAATCCCCGAAGTGGCCGAAGACAACAACAATGTACGCCTTTTCAAAAACTTTGATAAAATACATCCGAGCTGCATACCTACTATTGTAATGATGTCCATAATCAGCATGCCATAACTTGAGGTCATGTTGCTGCCAGTTATTTGATTAATTAAATCCATCGCATACATCGTGCATACTAATTTTCCAGAGAAATGATACATTGACATTACTACAACAGATATAAACATTGGCATGTAAAACGCTTTTGTGCTTATAGTTTCATAAATAAACTTCACCCGATTCCCTGCAACATTTCGTTTATTCTCCGCACACATCTTAATATACTGTTTCTGAGAATCAATCAACGTCTCGAGTTCACATTGGGAATCTTTATCGTACCCTTTCAGCCAGTGGTGTGAAGCGGCACATTCTTCGAACCGGCCCTTCATCGCCAACCAGTAAGGCGATTCGGGCCAAAATACGACGGTCAAAGGGTACAGAGAACAAACAAAGGCGATGTACGCGATGTTTTTCCAGTGGGAAAAGGCTCCCGTCGCATTAGCGACCCATACTCCCCAAAAGAAAACGGTAGATTCGAATATCATGAATACCCCTCGATATTTCGGGGAGGAGTATTCCGTTACAATAACAACCAACAAAGTCATGTTGCTTGCTAGAAGCATCCCTTGCATTATCGCACTGATCAATAAATGCGTTGTATTTGTACTGAAATAAAATAACAGGAATGAAACTAAAGTAACTATACATATTATGGTGAAAGGTATTTTTCTTCCGATGTATCTTGTCAAAACGGGTATCACGAATACCCATGGAAGTGCAGAGTAGCCGTGCACGGAAGCTGAAAAGAAAAAATATCCTCACCAATCCATCCTGTGCCAATAAATAAAAAAAATACATTTATAGTCTTTTTTAGCGAAAGATTAAGAAAACAAGCACAGAGCTCACTTGATTTTAGTAGATAACAAGAGTCTATAGATACTATGTATAATGTGAACACAGTTACTCATCTTGACAAAGTATATAATTATCAAATTAATTTGTAACAGCGAGTATTTTGCCCTTCCGTGGAATGCATTATTGATGCATCAAGCAGAATAGTTGAACTACTTTTACGTCATCTGTCTTTCGTAATAATTTTTTTTCCTAACTTGATACTTGAGGAGAGACAAGAAAATAGCAAACTCACTTAGCCATGAAGCCATGCTCTCGGTAACTGCATCTGTTGAGTTAGCTTCTCTTCTGATCTGTGGGATCATTACAGTTGGAGCTCCGAAGCCCAAACCAAGAACAAAGTAAATCGACCAAACTCCACTTGAAACAAAAATCTGAAAGAATATGTTTTCTATCAATATTATTTTTTTGTGCAGTCGTACTACAGGCATACGTTATGGTAAATAAAGAACACTATTCATTTTGATAAAAATACTGAATAAAAGTCATATCTTCGTTTTAAAATGCATACTCAGAAGACTAATTTATGTTTGGTTTGATAAATTGTGAATAAATAACAAGTTTCCAGTTTAGGTTCAGTGTAATAAATGAATTCCGATACTCACAATAGACTCTGTTATACATAATCTACTAATCATACAATATATTCAAATTCGAAAATTAAATCATTGTGTAGTAGTACTATTGTCTTATCAATTTCTGCGACAAATCCCATTCCAATATTAATTAAAATTTTGCGAGTTTTTTTTCAACAATGAGCCTCTCATAATGTAAATTTGACAATTGCGTCGATAGCCTACAGGTAAGACGCCCGGTGTGTTCGTTTAACTACAGCGTTTATGGTCCGTTATCGATACGTTTTTGCCAAAAACCTTTATTCGTTCTGGGTTAAGGATGGGATAGTCATTATTCTAATGTTATAGGGACTTCGACTGAGGCGGCGGTATTCACGTTTTGAAGGGTACATGCTCCGGTCACTACTGAACACCATGTGGGCCAGAAACTCGTCTGACAATTAAAATTTACCTCACTAATTAATACAGGGTTCGGAATGAGAATGTTACATGTTTTTTTAATAAGTTAGTATCAAAAAACTCTTCCAAAATGTGTGAGCTCAGATAAACTAAATCTACTGGTATAATAACTGACGGAAGGAAATATGAATTTAATGTTTGAAATAGTCATAACGACATTAGTGCGCGCGTGCCTAAAAAATGGTTAGATGCTCCCACTACATATCTATGCTTAAAACAATTTCATCATTGTAAATCTATTTTCACTAATATGTTGTATGGAAGTATTTCTCTTATAAATATTTACTGTTAAAGATAAAATTATGTACAAATCTAAGAATAGGAAAAATCCCTATTCCAGCATCAAAAATACGTACTTGTCGCCATAGATATCTCTTTGTTGTAACAGTATTCTTATCATCGGCTTCACCACTTTCATTCAAATCAACTGCTTCGTCAGCACAAGAATCCATGATCGATTCTGAGTTATGTTTACTTTACACGCTTTAACTGAAAGAAATTTGAAAATTTTTAAAGAATAAACAGAGTATTAAACATTTTTTTATTCAATTTTAAGGCGGCACCTTCGAAGACACTTTCTATGGCTAAGCAGATATTTTTAAGCCCGATTTAAAGATAAACATGTCGTTAGTCTGTGCTGTTATAACCAAGGTGATGTTCAAATCAGAAGAGAAGAAAAATTATAACCGTAAAGTCACTGTATATAAACGCAGCTACTACTGCAGTAATTATAAACTACGCTTCGATGGCGGGAATCGAGGTAATGACACGACAAACAATTATTCAGAACATTTCTCATGGTACATACGGAGCAATATAGAGAGGAAAATATGTAGACGCAGAATTCTCAAAGATTCGTTCAATTACAAGATCCTAACAAAGTATTCTTCCAAGTAATAAGTATATTTATAACATAATAATTTCAAAATCGAAATCTGATCACTTCGTAAACGTCACAAAAAAACAAATCCAATTAAAAATATAATATCCAAAAGCAACACTAATCCAACAAACTTTTATTTTTATTTTACTAAGATTAATAAATATAATAAGATACCTGCAGCAATTGTAAATGCAGCTTGAAACCGATTTATAATTAATAAGCTGCAACAGATTGAACATTTACTAGCTCGTATTTATTTTCAATCAGAGGCTTATTTCACAATCATACGATAGCACTCACTCATTTATTGTAAAAACATAATCTGACTAATACAATAACTAAACTTATCACACTCAACAACTCGAACAATTTCAAAATAAACTAAATCAGGAATATTTAATTTAAATACAAAAATACGTATGTAACAAATCATGTGAATTTACATTTCAATTCACCCTTCAACTCATCTTGGTGATTTGAACGTAACTGACTCGCTATGTCGATCATTGCATGTTCACCTTTTTATGTTATCTGGAACCGTACGTGCAGACTAGTGCAGTTTGAAAACGAATCAACGACAAATTACATCAATAATCTTAAAACAAGATTATTTAAAAAAAAACAGGTTAACGTTTATTTTTTATGTTGGATGGTTACATTTGGGGGATTGGGTTCTGTAGGTGATGAGGGGCTATTTAAAAACACACTGCTTCATTATAATTATATTGCAGATAGTTTGAACACTCTTACACCATTTTAAAATTATTATCTTTATATTTTTATAAAACTCTTACATGTTTCTTTGACCGTGTCTAGATTGGAAGTCTTTACTTTTTCTTACGAGAAGACAATCATCTGTTTTTAAACATTTAAAATAATTCTAATATTCGAAATCTGTAATCATGTGTCAAGTGTTGCCTGCCATTATATTTATATTCGAACTCCAACAGTTTACAATAAGATACTCAAAATTATGAGATTTCAGATATCAAAATTCTAATTGTACATAAGTTAATTGTTCAATAATACATTCCACCACTGATTACGCTAAATTAATTCTTATGATATCAGAATAAAACAGTGTTTGTTGGATTGATAACCTCTAGATTTAAAACGGTCAGAAAACCTTGACACTACTGCATTGATCGGCTCTGTTACGCATAAGGATTTCTTAATTTAAATATATTCCCCAGCGATTTTTCAATAAATTCCGCTAATACTTCTATCCTTCAATACTACCGTGATATGTGTAAGCTTACAAAGAGACGGTGAACTGTTATTATAAGTTTTAAATTCACTATTTAGCAACCATATCTAACAAGCCCTCCCAGTCATAAGATGAAACAAATATTTCAGACTACTTTTTTAGTAAACATGACTCGATAACATTGAACGTAATTTGAAAAGAATACTTCAGTACATCACTAACAGAAGTGATTGACATTGTTATGACAATCTAAAAGAATGCTGATTCAGTGGCGTACAAACACAAACACGTGAATGATAAAAGCGTGTGTGTACACGTAGCGAGGGTTGCCCCTACACGTGTAGTTAGTTACCTGAGTTTATTTATGTTACAAATTTAATTAAAATTACTTTTACAGTTTAATCGGGTGATATAATTCTATTTACAATTTCCGGTGTTTCGGACACTTTAGAGTTCCCGTGGCGCGGACGACTGTCGTCGCGTATAAACACAAGATTAAATCGAAAAATAGCTATGATTTAGTGTACGACTCGTAAAAACTAACGGATACGCAATAATAGGTTTAAGGCAAGAAAATTAGAAAGAGTCCAAAAACGGTTCCTTTATCATCTCGCTTTTAATAATAATTAATATCAGCAACTAAAATCATATAAAGAACGACTTTCATTCTATGGGATGCAGTTATTAAGCACACGACGTAAAGTAGCTGACATTGTGTTCCTATACAAGCTTGTACATAACAAATAGATTCAACAGATACACTTGAACGCATTTACTTAAGTATACCGCGCTCGGGCAGCCGTTTATGTAATCGCAAAACTTTACCTTTACTTTAACCTACCAAAAATTAAAATTAAAGTAATCTTGGCCAGCACTGTCCTGTATATCGTATGACTACCCTGACTAATAGTACACATGATAAAATTGACATATTTGTTTGCCACGCTTCTGTAGCATCACTTAAAATACATTTAAGATCCGCGATCCACACCGAGCTATAGACTTCGTTTGAATTTTATTGAACATTAAGTTCCCTCTTTATTTAACTGTTGAATGTTTTTTATTAGTTTTAATATCGGTCTATATTGATATTTTACTACATATTTAATAAATAAAAAGTCGGCCTCTGACGACTTCACAACCGACCTTATGCAAGTTGTGTTCACACCCCAAAAGGATGAATTTATTAATGTATTTTTTTTTCTATTTAAGTGAGAAGCTAATGTGTCTAGATTTTCTCCAGTTCTGTGACCCTAATAAATATAAAAGTAAAATATTTGAAGTGTCAATGTATTCCATAATATTTCAATGTCAATATCCAAAACTTATGTCATAGATAAATAAACTAAATATACCAGAAATAGAGTGCATTTTAACAACAAATCTATTTTTAAACACCTCTTTTCTTAATTTTTGTCACATCAAATACTACCCAAACATTTTGCTCTTTAAACACGACGATCGCACGATGCAATCACGCATCATGTATAAACTAAATAGTGGTACAATTTTCCTGAATGAAATCGGGACGTAACTATTTTTGTGGAATGATGTTCTAATCTTACTTTTATCTATCCTGTAACTCATATATGTAAATAAAGCAGACCGCTCATATCTTTTACAAATTGCCTGACCCGAAATCTGTAAGAAAATTTGATAGCAGCGAAAGCCGTATTTGGTATTTGGTATTAATCGCTTGCCGGATTTCAAAGACAATACAATCTGAATTCCACTAGCCGCTTCTTTTTTTTTTCCTACCTATGCTGATAGCCTTGAGAGGCTATTTCAGCTTCACCCTAACGTTTGTAGGTGAGCTCACGGGGCTCAAACCGGAGAGTTGCTAACATTGACCCTAACAAGAGCAGTGCTTCGCAGAATCTACCACCGCATCGGAAACGCGACCCACTGAGAAGTTCCGGCGAGAAACGTCGTCAGGCTTGAGCCCCGTGAGCTCACCTACTAGTTTAGGCTACACTGATATAGCCTCTCAAGGCTCTGAGCATAGGTAGGAAAAAATAAATAAATTAATAAATGCCACTACCAGTAATTTTCGAAATTTAGAGACTTCGGAATTTACTTTCATAAAAGAACTGCGACGTCAAATAGATTAGACCATAAACGCTTTACCGAAAGTCTGATACAGAAAAAATCTGTTTACTTTTTAACTCCTTGTAAAAATGAAATTTCAAAATGACCATTTCGAACCTATCATAAGTTAAGTATCTAAGCAATGAAAGCATCCATAAAACGACACCAAAAATCCGAATTTTTGCTATATAATTTGAAATCTAATACATTAATAAATATCTTTATGATATCATCAACTGTGATTTATTGTTGACACAAAACATATTAATAATTTAAAAACCAATTTAAAGTAGTGAATGATAAAAAAATATTTACTCTCAAAACAAATATTTTTTAAATCAAACAAAAATAAATTAACATAATATACATTCGCTTCAAAACAATAACTGCCAATATACTTTAAACATTATACTAAGCTTTAAATGATATATTTTTATCCATACTAACACGTTGAACCGTCAAATTATATTGCTATTTGTCGAGCCAACCTCCAACCCACAAGGTTAATTAAATAAGGCAAACATACCCTCATGCGCAAACATTGTAAATACATATTTAATACTTTAAGATCGCTTAAATTCAAAGGTAAATCGAATCTCATACCGTTTCCGTGACACTAATAATACCAATTATAAAGTATTACCTGTATATAACACAATATTTACCTTGCTTAATTTATGATGTGAATTCCTCAACTCAATGACTTTTTCACAACAACACGTTCCATACATAAAAGCTACATAGAATCAATGCAAAATATATCGTGCACACCCAATTGCGATGCCTGTTCAATAACTACTGACTTATTCATATAGCTGGAATGATATGCTTAAAATATCTTTATGCATCGACTGTAAATAATTTACGATGCGCAGCTAACGTTATTGAAAGGGTGATAAAGAAATCACATCTTCCTATTTAATAAATCTTGTTGTTAACAGTTTTTTACGTACTGGTTTTCACGTGGGCTTTCCTCACTTATTTTTTTGTATTCCTAAATATTAGAAATAAACTTGGCAATGTAATACAAATCAACTTCCGATAAGCTAAAGACTTAAAGAAAATATTAAACATAGATCTGGATAATAGATAAGGCAATATAATTATTAACTAACCCTTTCACACATCCAAGAATGAAAGAAAATAAAAAAATTGAAAAAGTAATACAAACAATAGAAAAATAAAATAAAACAGACTAAAAAGCACCAAGTCTATTCTCTTTCTTTATGAAACGTGAGGCACTCGCAATTTAAATATAAAAATAAATAATTATAATAAAAAATAAATAACGTGGAGTGTGGAGGGTTGCTATCGTTGAGAAATCTCACAACACAATTCACAACATTTTGTAGTATAATAAAATTTTAGGTCCACGTAAGTAAATCATTCCTGGTTTATTAGCGTAGACATTATGGACTAAGTAACACAAAATGCTGCTTAATTCTATGATGATTTAATAGATACATTCCTCTTGCGCAATTCATGGCGGCTACAAAACTGGGCAGGCACTACATTTTCGCGAAAGTCTGATCTATGTAGCATAAAGTGTATACGGTTATTCTCTTAACA